GCGTACGCTTACCATATTTGTAGATTATGGTATATTGGCTGATATACCATAATGGCTAAGCCAATAAAAAGTCTTGAATTGCATTATCCAATGATCCAGTTTTTAATAATAATAAATAGGAAATGTTAGACACTGATAAAAGAAGAGATGTACATTTTATTTGGCTTTCAATCAAGAATAAAGGTGTTCCTAAACTTTGCAGGCACATACATGTATGTTATAGATTAACTTTTGCTACATCCCAGAACCAAATATTCCCTAATCTATTTTAGTCAAAAAGTGGAGAAAGGGAGTGTAATGTAATGCAAGTAGTGTTGCCATTTGTATTCTGGTTAGAAGTGTTACCATGCATGTACAGTAGTGCCACTAAACTGAAGGGAAATTTAGTGGAAAGAGTTTGTCTCCTCAAGTCCCCTTAATTTTTCCTCCCCACACATCTTGGACTGCCCTTTAGCATTTGTAATAGCAGATTTAGCGCCTCCCGCCCATCACCTTCAATCACATCTAGTTACTCAAGTGCAAATGAACCTTAGTGCATTTATAAATTATTATTCAGGGACCCGTGCTGGAGGCAGTATGACAAGTGAAGCAGCTTACGACTGTCTTGGAGATGATAGGGAGGTGTGTAACATTAGCTAGATTAATTCAGTGGACCATATTCAAATGTTTCACTTTACAAGGAAAGGTAACAAATAAACAAGTATATCCAATGATGCTTAGTTTAAGAGGCCTAATTGGTCTTGAATGTTTAAGACATTTTTACTATCCCTTTTTAGAGTACAAATAAACATAAACAAAACCTGCCCAACTCTCAGACGTGCTATTCTCAATTGTCATCCATCTTACAGCCAGCTTTGTATAAATTGTTTTAAGCAAACATACCTATCAATGCCACCAATCACATACCCTCTTCTAATATGAACTATGAATAGGTATGCTCTCCTTACCTGGGACTGTAAGTTTCATTTGTCTTCTGGGACTGGGACAATTTGTTGTTTTGATTTTTCTCATGTATGCATTTTTTAACAAATGATAGATATTTGATATGTCAAGATTTCTTTGAACATTATTTACATTTTGTTCATACAGAATGGTATTGCTATGCTTTGTGGAGATGAAGAAAGCGTTTTCAAACAATTCCAAGTTGATGATTATGAGAAAAAATTTTCCAAGGAGAAGGCTGTTACCCTTATCATTCAGCTTAAAGCCAAGAGGTAAAAGTTATCATAGTAGTCAAGTTAATTTTAATTTCTTTTGAGGAGGGGGGTGAGTAGACAAATGGATCAGCAGATTCTGACAGTATTTTTGTGTGGATTTTGGAGACATTGGGACATTTTAAAAGATTTGTGGATCCTGCAATTGCAGTAGTCTACGATATTCATCTATTTTTGGGTTCGGATTTTGGATTTTTGTTGTGATAAAGTTCAGATTGTGGATTTTAGGGTTCGTCAGAAATGTTTTGTTTAATTTTGTTTTTGTATGTATGACCCAACAAATGTCATGCAGCAGAAAAATAGTAATGTCTCGCAAGATGCACAAGACCACAAGATCACTAACATCTTCGGCAAAGAGGGAATACCTGTGCACATCACACACAAGTCATACACCCTCAGAAAAGCCTTCTCTCACAAAATCACAGAGTGTACATGCACAAGAGACAATTGCCCCCTCGCACATACCAACCTGTGTTTACTGAGAAACGCTGTTTACCAAATTACATGCAAAAACTGTAACCAACACTAAATCGGGAGCACCACTGGCTTCCTCCATGACTGTGTGAAAGAACATCTCAGAAACGTAAATTCATCCGTAAACAAACTTATCGGTATATGCCAAAACAAGGATTACAAAAGCATTGAAGTCAAAATCATTACATTGGAAAACGACCTAGTAAACCTCTGCCTATTTGAAGCGTTTTACATAAGGAAAAACAAACCTACACTTAACTCCCTGAGAAGAATGCATTAAACTCGCAGACCTATTGTTCTGACACCTCCCATATCACACTGGATCCCCTCACAGTGACACTAGCTCATTAGTATAGTGACACTTTTCTCCCTTTTATTTGGTCCTCATGGAATATTTTATCTTATCTGTCCCTGATGATGCCGTGAGCGGCGAAAGCTCACTGGACTTCTACAATATTTTACAGTAATTCAAGGCCACATTAGTGTTTTTATTGTTTTATCTATCCACTGAATTGATTCTTTTTCTTGTTAACTGTAGTATGGGTGCTACAGGAGGTGCAACCTCTTCACAGCCTTACATTCCATCAGGAGCTTGCTCAGGGACAACAGGACCAAGGTCCACTCCATGCCCACCTCCAGTACCTGACTGAAGATGTTGCAGACATGTAATGGAGCCTTTTGAGGAGCTGTGCTACATAGTGATTACTCAAACAGCTGTAAGGCTGTCAAATGTAGATTTATGCATCAGTCAAAGTAAACCTGACCCTCCCCCCATTCCTTACCCTGGGATATGTGGGGCCTTGGTAAGGATTTTGTGCATTATTGGCAGCCCTCTGTGTCCCAAGATGGTGGGGAATGATGTATTTTGTCACTAGTCTGGGAAAATGTGAGGCATTGGTTGCAATCGGATTCAAATGAATATGTAAGATTGAGGCTTCTCTACCTTACAGATATTTGGGGATTCTTCGATGGCAGGATTTCTCGGTAGAATAGTGCTGTAATGTATTTTAATTTCCACTAAATATGGAATAAAGTGTAGCTGCTCACAAACTTATCATATTAAAATCTGCAGCAAATTGGCATTAATTGTGAATTCAACTGCTTCGTGAAGTCAGCCAATTATTTATTTAACCCATATTTTCTGCAAAACTTCCCAACATGGTGGCACTTGTCAGGTTTTGTTTGCTTTTCAGAACCAATCCCCACCTATATCCCAGAGTGGGGTAGAATGGGGTGGAGGGCGAAGGAGGGTGGGGGGGAAAGAGGTTTTTACAGTGGCCTACAAGTGCACACCGAATTGAAAAACTCTACGCCAAATTCCAAATGCCCACACTGAATTCTAAATCTCCACACCGAATTCTAAATCTCCACACCGAAATCTAAATCTCCACACCGAATTCTAAATCGTCAAACCGAATTCTAAATCTCCACGCGGAATTCAAATTGTTCACACCGAATTCCTAAGATCTGGGAGACTGGACCGATGGGTACTTCTAAGGTAACAGCCATTGCAAGGTACTTCTAAGGCAACGACCTTTGGGTACTTTTAAGGCAACAGCCGCTGACCTATAAATTCCCTGATCGGCATGGAGATTTAGAATTCTGTGTGAGCAATTTGAATTTGGTGTGGGCATTTGGAATTTGGCATAGAGTTTTTCAATTCAGTGTGCACTTGTGGGCCACGGTAGGTTTCAGTTTACTTTTACTGGTGCACAAATGTAGCAGCATTTTGCCATGAGAACTGCTATAAAGCTGTGCTATGTGTTTTGTGTATCCAACAGCTTAGAGTATAGCATAATAGCACAGTACATAATTAGATAGTCAACCTCCGCCCTGTTGGTGAATGATACTCATGTGGGTGAAATAGCTTCAAAGCTGAAGCTTGCTGCAGAACAGACTCTAATCAGAGTTCCCTGGCTCTGAATATAATATGTCACATGCAACAGTGGTACATGATGTTTATTTTTTGTGGAGCTTAGTATAATCTGATGATTTGATGAACACATCTGTCACTAAATGTCAGGAAGGTCCCTTTACTTGATATTATGTACTGCTTGTAGGAGAAGTCAATTAGTTATTAAGCAAATTCTGCTGACTTTCATAAGAGGAAGTATCAGTCCAAGGAACAGCAGATTTAAAGGGTTACGGTAGTAACTTGCGCTCAAGTGATAAAAGGGTGAACAATTAAGGATAAATTTTTGGACACTTAAGGTGGCTGAACACAGCTTTTGCGCGTGCTTTTGCTGATGGTATGCACACAAGGATTGCAAAAAACAAACATGCAGTCAATAGAGCAGTCATTTTATTTACTCAACACATACCTGCACTATCTGTGCTATTTTTCCCTATAGTTGATGCAGTGTATTGAGGGCTTTAATCTGTTATTAGAAAGTTAATGGTGCAAAGAACCCAGCAATTCTCAGCTTTTTCGTCGTGGAAAATTGCTTTCTCAGAAACATGCTTATTTCTTGAGAATCACTCAATAGAATTTCATGAAATCTGGCACAAAAACACTTTAGTAAATAAGTAACTGGAGTATTGAAAAAAAAATTGATTTTAAACAAAGGAAATTATAGAAAATCGAGTGAACCTTCAACAAGGGATAATTAAAGATTTCTCTGTTAAATTGTTAGCAAAATGGTGTTAACTTGTGAGTATCGTTACAAGCTCGTTGCATGCAAATTATAAAGAGAATCTAATGACTAGATTTTCTACAAAGAAACAAAACCGATTTTAATTGCCTGTTTATATCTATTGGTGTCGCCATGGCAATGGCACATACGTCAGCTTAACTATCAAAAAAACAAAGTTTGTGTTGTTAACTTGCTTGCTGCTAGTTTTGGCAACTGAGAGATCAAGGGTTTAGAGAAAATGGTGAATGAAACAAAGGTATCAATAACTGTGTTCAGCCACCTTAAAAGTGGTTAAAAACGATATATTGTACTTTGGTTCTATCAACTAAAATGAAATTGTAAATTGGCCCCTGTAAGGATTTTCTAGAATTCTTCGTCAGAGCAAATGACCACAATATTTTGGCTCAAACTGAGAAACAGTTCACTGAAAAAAAACAAATTGTGACAATTGCCAACTGATAATGATGTTAGTAATTAGAAGAAAGATGGTAGATATTTATATTATCAAGAATGATATTATAGGAAAGTAACTTTTAAGGTGATGTTAGTTAAAATGATTTATGGAACAAAATTTTGTTTTTTGTTTTTGTTTTGATAATGAACTCATTAATTTTGTTTTTTGCTATGTTTTGTAATTGTAGAATGTGTTGTAGCTGAGAGGCTGAGTTTTTTCCAGTATAATTTACTGCACATGGAGTGGGCCATGCAACCCTGAGTCAGTTGACATACTTTGTTCTTACATGAGCCACACTTAACTGCTGAAGACAGATTCGATTGCATGAGAACTGTGCCGCCCAGGTGTCATGCATTTACAAATTTGATATTTAAATATCAAATTAATTTTTGTGTTGAATAGACATGCCAAGTTCTTTGCAAAGGAAGCAAGCAGTGCTGATTCCTAGCTCTTGTATTCAGCTTTATGTTTGTGTGCTTCCTTATTTTAGAAAATAAATGGGATTGTTTAGTTGTAGTTGCTTGGAACAAATAGGAATTATCACCTGATACTGGGTATTGTGCTTCTTAATTACAAACATGGGAATTGATACAGAGGCTGTCATGCATCATACTTGTGCTGATGCTTGCTCACTTAGTGCAAGAAATTCAACATCAGGAGACTATTGTGTGAGCTGCTAGTTGGTTTTCATTGTGCTATCAAAAGGACATTCAAGCTAGGTACTTAAGAGATTGCTTAAGGATTTGAGTTCAGTTGCTCAATAGGCCCTTTGCAGCTAGAGGTCACGTGCTTGGATACCGCATAGCAAAACAAAACTGGAGAGCAAGCGCTCCAGTAAACAAACTCTCGTAAGAGGTCAAGCATATCTGGCCTGGACAATTTTCTGTTCATTATGCTCAATCCTTTTGCAATATCTACAAAAACTGTAAGATATTTACTAAGTCTCTCGTTCGGACTCGATGTTTGGATGGAAAGCACAATATTTTTCTCGAAATCGTGAAAAAACTGTTGCTAACAACCCGCGCGACGGCTAAGAAACATAGCGGCTTCGCAAGGTACGTACTTCAAAAAATATACTAGGCCAAATGAATTCTGACCATTATTTACTGGAGCAAGATCATAAACTTTTCTGTCTAGACCACAACCCAGCCATGGGCATTTGATCATCCTTTGCCCGGCCAGGTAAGCGGTGGAACTTTAATTCAGGATGATATCTAGAATCCCCGTTACACAAGGGAACACAATGGTACCACAGGTAGCCCAAGCTCTGTCATAGGCTCTTCACAGTGAATACTATTAAAGAGTTTGTATAGTGGTTTAGTTGGGCTTGCTTTTGAGTCCGTAGATGTAAAATTGTGTGAAATGATCAAAGAAATAAAGTCTTACCTTCGTAGAGAGTAGTCTGTGTTGTTCTCGCGATTTGAGGCCGTTTTGATGTGTTTTAGCTTGACGCCCTAAATTACCCTGCATAAAGTACGGGAAGGTCAGAAACTTCTGTTGACAAATGCTTCCCAAAACCGCTCGAAAACACCACTTAAATACTTTCCCTCGAATTAAAACTCGGCAGCACGAAAGCCAAATAGTTGCCCTTAAAGTTGACCGAAAAAAATCCCACTAAAGTCGGTTTGTCGAGCAACCAATCAAGCGAGAATTTCAAATTGACGGCCGTTCGGAAATCTCATGCGTGGAAGGAACTTCTTGTGCAGCTGAGAGACCGTTGTCAACCTGGCACCTAGACAAATCTCTCTCAATGGGTCCTCCCCCTAGTCTTCTAACACCAAATCTTCACACATACTAAGGTTCACCCTCATCTACCCTAGGTAACCCCTGTTCTACCACGTTCACCCTCATCTACCCCAGGTAACCCATGTTCTACCACGTTTACCCCATCTACCCTTGTTTAGCAATGTTCTACCACGTTCACTCTCATCTACCCTAGGTAACCTGTTCTACCCCGTTTACCCCCATCTACCCTTGTTTAGCCATGTTCTACCACGTTCACCCTCATCTACCCTAGGTAACCCATGTTCTACCTCGTTTACCCCTATCTACCCTAGGTAACCCATGTTCTACCACGTTCACCCTCAT